CAGTCACTCCACTCAACATGGCCAACAACTTGCCTCACGAGTTTGCCAACAGTCTGAACTGCCATTAGAAGGGGTCTTCTAAGTGATGGCGAAATAACAGAATATGTTTGGAACATAATTTGTAAAAAAGGCACTATTTATAAATGTTCGATTCAAATTACATAGATATTTAACAAAAAATATATTAAGATTTTGAAAGACGTATCTCAAGAGTATTTGGTAACTTTGGGGAATATTTATTTATTTATTAATGATGATAGTGAAGTTTGGGGAATATATATCAAAACATTTAAGCATTATTATTTTTAAATTTAAAATTACATTCTTTAAAGTGTAATATTACGTAAGTACAAAAACGCAGAGGTTTTCATAGCTTGAAAATTATAATTTATATATAAGTTCTAATAACTGAGGTATTTTGCAACCTATTATGTTATGCTGGCTTGCTCAACTCGACTTCAGCTAATTAATTTTATTGAGCAAACAAGAATATTGAATTATGATAGTTATATCATAATAGTGATACAAATATCAAAAACTTAAGTTAGGGTGCTCGACAAGTTCACAGAACACGGAAGACGTGCAACCGTTTTTCCGCCGGGAGGTCAGTAGCTTCGATATTGATGGATGGACCCCCTGGCAGCTGGAAAGCTCAGCTAAACTCAATCAAAGCGTGACAGAGTGCCAACTCCACGGGATTGGGATTGGGATTGGGATGACGGTTCATAGCCTCACGCTCCAATAATGTACATGTATTCATAGAAGGGCCAAAACTATTCCTGCCGGAGTTCCCTTAATACAATTTTAAACAACTTGTTTTTCCTGCTCCATCACCCGCAACCATTTATGTGAGCACACAGTTCATGTTTTCGCAATGTCGTTTACCTGACACAGTCATAAGTTCTGGAGGAAATCGTGACAGGCAGTCAGTCAAGCGGAGTACGAAAAACGTTTGATGGGTCTGAGACCCCACTTAACCCCTCCAGAAGCATTTGTTATTAAAAAGGGTTAACTCTGGCATGTTAAGTTCATGCTAAATAAATTTCAACAATGCCTGATTCGCTCAAAGGTTCAATCTGTTGATCAATAATAAATATCTATGTAAGCCTGTTTACAAAATTCTTATGTAATATTGGTCCTGTATTTGTTAAAGGAATTTGCAGCCTCCTAACCAATAATATAGTGTCTACAATATATATTCTGATAAGCATTTTTGGTGTTATGATAAAAGAAGAAAAATATGATATTTCAATTACTTACAGTCCTACTACCATTAAGCAAAATTCCTGTAAATTATGCACGTGAGCATGCTAGACATTTTTAAAAGACCTTTGTTATCCAGGAAATCAATTCGCGGGAAACCAGGAAGCCTACGAAATATGAAGAAAAATTGGAATGTAAATTCTTTGGGATTTGCATAAGCGTGTCCGAAGTGCTCTTTGTTGGCACCGAAATGGAAAGAAGGGAAATTTATTGTGAAAACAGCATTAAATTAATGAAGCATAACATGGAATCTCGCAAGAACAAAACTTTTCGTGCTCATTGTTAAGCTTTTTGTTTGAGTTACCATTGAGGCGGACAGACCCGGCAAAAAAAAAGGGGATAAGACGGAAGTTTGGGAGCCGAAGCCCGGCATCCCTTTTATGTTTATGCTCGGTGGCCCAAACTGTTGCTTCCAGACATAACGAATATTTATGGCCTATCAATTTTGCAGGACACGTGCGGAAGGAAAAACGAAAAGGTCAACGACTGCCAAAATCAGAGGCCCCCCAGGGTGAGCTAAAAATTCAATTAGCAGGCGGCTAATAAGATAGCCATTTTAATTGCTGGTAATAGGCTAAAAATTGCGCATACGCAGCATCTGCCCAAAAAGGAAGCATTTTACGTATCGACAACATTTTAATTAAATTTCAACGCTGTCCGGGTTTTGGCATATTTTCTGTGTCACAATTTCCCCCGACCTCTGCCGTATTGTCAAAGTTAGTCAGGGAAAAAGAGGCATCCAAAAGGACTTGCCATCGGGGTCGGGTGATGAATCAAAGGTAAAACCTCCTGGCGTGCCAGGACATCTTGTTTGCCTTGCTAATTAAAGTTGCGTAAAAGCAATTCCATTGTTGTCCTGTCCAGCAAATACTTTGTGCAAATCAAAGTGACGACCTCGGGCGGATCCAAAGGAGTGACTAACATTGTTTACCCACCTGTTCCTTCAGCTTGACAAGAGGGAAGACTCTTACCGTTGAAACAAAACCTTCCTTTAATAATGCTAATTGGTCAAGCTTCTTAGGAAAATAGATTTGTAAGAGTTAATTACAAAGTGCTCTTAAAACCAAGTGGTATGATGTGGTAGAGGATTTAATAGTAGCTCTTGAGTAGATTAAGCAAAAGAAGAGTAACCGATTGCTTCCTAATTATTGCAAGCACTTAAAGTAAATATCCACTTAAAAAATATATTGATTACCTTGTAAATACCCTTTTTGATTCGTTCTTTAGATTTCCATAAATTATTATTTAGAGTGCAGACTTAAGTCTCAATTATCTTCTCAGTTTCATTACTGGCAGGCAGATGGAATATTTTTGTTGACATATTTGCACATTCATAATATTTGCTTTGAATTTGAAGTTTATAGACAGAGAGTATAATTAAAACCGAAATGGATGCTGCATTTGACTGACATTGATACGCAATTTTACAGATTATTATCCAAAACAATGGACACATTGAAAGCTCCTGTCTCGTCGATCTTGACAATGAGATTTTCTTTGTTGACTTCCACAATTTACCCAGCTGATAATCAATTATGGCCCATGGCCTCAATAAATGGCTGTATTCCCAGAAGAGTTCCAGGTGCCAGGTAGCATGTCAATTAAATGATCATAAACAAGGTTGCCGCAGCTCGAAGCAATCATTGATATGAAATTGGAAAATGGAAAAGTCAATACAATCGATTCCGAAGCGGAAACGACGGCACACTCAAGTTGCACTATCGATGAACAGTGACGTCTGCGTATACGTAATTTCTGAGTTGACATTCGCTTCCTGACTCTTTTCCTGACTATTTATAGCCGATTGGAGGCTGCTTTGTTGAGACTTTGCACTTGTGGCTGCCGCTCTTCTTTATTGTCACCCAACAATTTGCAGCCATTATTTAAATGGCCTAAAAGGAAGAGGACCAGCTGCGTCTTCCACTTTTTTTGGGTGAATGGTTGTGGAAAATATCCACTTTCCGATGGACTTCCATAAAGGTCGAGACCATCTTGTCGGATTTAAGTTTAAGTCCCAACTGCCAAAAATGGCATGCCATTGACTTCAAATTGATATTATGAATAATATAGCAAAATGGTGGATGGTAAAATAACTTTTTAATTTGAAGCTTCTGTTTTACAGCGATTAAGGGGATTAGCCATTTGATACATTTTACATAACATCCTTAATATTTTGTAGTTATAAGTTTCTATACCATTTGATTTAAATTATTTTTGTCAGTGATATATATTTATATATAATCTTAATTTGTTTTAAAACGTTGTATAACCTTTCCTTCACTTTTAATATTTTCATTTAAATTACTGGGAAAATCTAAAACAAAAGATACCACTTTCTCTGCTCTGGGAATCTTAATAGTAGATGAATAAATAGGTTTGGGTAACACAAACACTTCACTTCTTGTCTCTGTGTATTCGCTCTGATATCCGCTTTCATCCGGGCCCCAGAGTGGCCCACTTCAAGCGAGTGCCATGCAAATGGCATCGGACCCAGAACGCCCTATTCTTTGACTGGTCTTCTGGGTCTGGGCCTGGGTCTGGGCCCAGTTCCTTATCTGCCGCGCCCATCTGGGCCTGCCACTCGACGCCGACGCCGACGTCGTCTGGAATCGGATTCTCAAAGCGGGGTCTTCAGATGGAACAGGAATAGAGGAGTAGTAGGAATAGGAGTTCCAGTCTGGGCAAAGATTCAGGATGAGGCTGGGTGCATGTCTGCAGCGTTTGGCTTAACAAGTGATAAACTTGTCGCTTGTCCTCTTCAAGTCCTTTGCCATTTTATTATTCCCGCCTCTGTAGTAGAGAGTGCTCCAAAGAAGCCATTACCCCCCAATCTCCGGCCAGTACTCACTCACTCGCTGCAAGACGCTGTAAATAGTTAAGTACAAATTGCATGGCTAATTTGAGCTGTTGCATAAGGCTTAAGAGGCACTCACGCACACAGACTCCACTTCGCATGGTGTTGACAACTTGACCGTAGAATTAACCGGAGAAGGTGTGAAGTGACAGAAGATTTGGCATGAGTAATGACCGTTGCGAGTTGTGCCCATGAAGTAGGCAGGTTTATTAGCAACTGTCAAGAAATAATTTCCACAGACACTGAAAATTTGCTGTTTGGTTCCATATAATACAGAACAGTACTTAAAAGTCAAGGAACTTAAGTACAAACCTGAACTAACGGCTTTAACAAGACTACAAAGTGTAATACCTGGAAATGGTATGAACTGCGAAAATGTTTCTCATGTGGGTATGAGATACATTGAGACAATTTTACCTGTCATGGCTTTATGCCAAAATTGACTCGTCATAAAAACTTTCAACCCCACAACTTTCTCGACGGAAAAAATTCTTAAAATGTTGTCAGAAATGAATTACAAAGTTAACTTGTAAGAAGAAATAAAGTAGAAATGGTCCTTGCTTTTAAAGTTATAAGAACTAAATTATTTTTAAAACATAACCCTACTGTATGCTTGACTCAAAATCCTTATAGCTTTTATACAGTCTTTTCTCAGCCTATTTAAGCCACTAATGCGAGAGGTATGCATACCAAACACTAAGCCACAATTAACGCAGTTCGAAATAGTTCCACAAACAAAGACAATTTACCTAGTTTCCCACACTGGGCTTTCCGTCGTACCCATAACCCAATTCGAAATGTAAACCCGCTCTAATTATGATTTATTCCACATCTGGTCAACACCCCGGCCTTAACGAAAGCCCAAAAGGCAATTGAAACTTACCAGCTGGAAATGTTTGTTTGCTTATTTACAGCTCCATTTGTATGCAGCTCGGGAGCAACTTTAACTTCATTTTAATGGTTATATTCACCGACATCGTTCGCTGGTTGGCTGGTTTGTTTGTTGATTTGTTGTTTTACCTGTTACCGTTCTACAAACGATTTCAATTGCGAGCACAAACACAAACACTGCACTTTTGGGGAAGAATTTTCAAAAATATTTTTACCAAACACGTCGGTAATTTGCTTAACTAATTAGGTTTAAATTAACACAAATAAATGGGTTTTGCGGTAGTTAAATTATGACAAAATCATGGTATTACACCTTTACACAACGGACTAATTTAGCATATGTTTAATGGGGCGCAAAGAGGCTTTGTTTTCGATTTGTTATGTTTTAGTTTTTTTTTGGTTTTTTTTTTTAGTGGGCCAGGCCAAAAAATTAACTCAAAATTGAGCGAGTCGGTCAACCGAACGCGATGAAACTCGTTTTTAGACTGACGACCCAAGCTTTAGGTTGGCTTTCTTGTTCGAATCAAACATGTTGCTGGTGTACATGTTGCTGCTGCGCGTGTTGCTGCTGCGCGTGTTGCTGCTGCGCGTGTTGCTGCTGCTGCTCGTGTTGGTGCTGCTCTTGTTGCATGTGCCTCATATTAATTGCAGCGTTTACCCACCGCCCACGTCCAACCGGCGAATAAAACAAACGACACAGAGTTGCAGCCACAAATTTACTACTTTTTTTTTTGTCTTTTATTTCTCGTAACCCCTTTGCTACCAGCAACGCCTACCCGTAAAATCCCGTAGAATATGGCCAGCAAATAAAACGGAGCGCGTCCAGTTAGACAAGCACTCACCTTGTTAAAACCGAACCCAAAACCCTCTGGGTAACCGAACTGCCTTTGCATTTTATTTACATTTCAGCTGCGCCGATTTAAAGGCCCATGATTAAGCAATAAATTCACACCAGGCCGAGACAAACGCAAGACTTCTAGTTGCAACTAAAAAAACACTGAACAAAAATGTTAGCATAACACTTTTGCAACTTTTTGAAGTCCCAAGAAAGTATCAGTATTACTGATCAGTACTATAAATAAACCGTATTGCAATTATTTTAAGAGCTAGGTATATATAGTATTTAAGTTATCATGACGTAACCCTACAAATATTATAGAATTTATCAAAACTCAAATGATAGTACACTTTTTTTCTACGTGTATCTACAATTGCAACTTTGGCGCGAACTCCCTGTGGGTGTATAGTTGCTGTTGTTAACGGTGTTTTTTCCTTTATAATAAAGTTTACCTTTTGCTCCACTGCTCTCAGGCAAATTTTCTATTTGTATTTTCAATTGATTTGCATTTGAGTAATCCTGTTTCCTCCATTGAAGAGCGGAAGCCAACAGCGCACAACGGCATTGGAGAAAGGTGTAAATATTATGATTATGGCTGAGATTGAGATGTAGGTAAATAATATTGCCATCGGTGTGGGTTCAACAGGTGCCTGAAGGCAGGCGGTAATAATAGATGGGAAATGCAAAAAGGAAACATAATCCACTTTGGCGGGAGGGAATTTGGATGCAATCGGCGTTAGACAAGAACCGCAATGGAGGAAGTGACGGATAATAACGGATATATCGACTTATTTGATGACGAAACAGAAACTTATTACTTTTTAATTATATTCCAATTTAAGAGAAGATAAGTTTATCTTAAGGTACCCTATTATAACATTATAACATATAATGAATACTCATTATAGACAATATCTAAAAATATTTTTCAAACTTTAAGCAAGGCCGAAGATTATTCTCGACGTAGATATAATTGAAACCACCTGTCTATGAAAAAATCTAACATTAACAGAGAACATATCCCATCTCAGTTTGTGCTTCATTTAAGACTCGCCCTTCAAACCCGTAACTCTCCATTCGAGAACGCTGCCGTAACAATCTTTACTCGGTTCAATATTTACATTCTAAATGACTTCATTGCTAAGTCAAACAGATTAAATCTCTATTAGTTTTTAAATAAGCTCCGCCGTCGGCGCTTGGCTTGCGTCTATAGACCCCGAAGAACCCGAGAAACAGAGAACCCGATCCCGAACCCAGGTCCAAACCCGACCCTGACCCCAAGGCTACTTTTGGGCACGCCAATAATAATGACGACTACATAGGCGACGCATTGTTTCCAGCGCCGATCTTGTCCAAGTCGCTATATCCACTTATTTTCCTCTTGGTCTTCTGGCCCTGTGCTGATGATGACTTAATCGGTGATCGGAGTTTTGGCTCCAGTGGGCGTTATAATGATTTATTATGCCGATTGACCACGCACTGTAACAACAATCTTACTAAGACAAAATAAAGGGGGAAACCAGAATAGCTGGCTGAAGTGCGATAGAAGAGTGAGATTGATATACTCTTTTGAAGTGATCTTACAAGAAAGTGTTTCAACATGATATGATGTAGGTACACAATAATCGTTTTGTTTTCTTAAATTTTTGGTGGGATGATAAACTTTTTGTGTATTTTTGGTAAATATATATATATGGAAAACCATATACTTTCATTACTTAAGTTAAAGAAAGATAACATCCTGGTGATTAAAGATTTATAAATATTAAAAAGGCACCCTGTGAAAGTGTACAACTTATCGGTACCATATATCTTCTCATTACCAACCATTGCTTTTCCTCGCAATGCAAACTTTGATTTCTGTTTTCTTGTCTAACGAATCCTGAAATTCCAACAAATTCCGTACATACTTTTTAGACAGGATTCCCCGTACAATCAGGGTATTTATCGGATGCGTAAAAATGCAAAAGATTTGCCAGGCAAGAAGGTGCCATGAAAACCAATTGACTGAGAGCCAGGTTCCCGCTGGCCCCACTGCTTTACATTTCTCACTCAAAGCTGTGGTTGAGTGGGTGCCTTGGATGGGTGGCTAGATGGGTGTCTGGATGGGTGGCTAGGTGGATGGTTGAGGAGGATTCTCTGGCAGGTGTCCTTGCCTGCGTACCGGCAGCCGGATGATATATCACACAAACGCAGACGGACGGCAGGTGTACGCCGCATCACCCTCGTCATCTTTCTCATTAAGAGGCAGCCAGTCGTTTATTTATGCACTTGACTTACGTGGCGCCTTGGGCGGGCCGGGGCAAAAGGGGGCGTGGCTCTCGGATGGCTGGATGGGCAAAAGACCCAGACCAGACCAAGAGCCTTAATGAGCATATCATATTTCACACATGTCCGCTCGGCTGCTTAAACCCATCGTCACCTGTTTGAGCGCCCATTTAGCTTTGAGTGCAATCTGAAATTGTTTCTCGAGTGCACTCCTCTTGGTGGGAGGGGGGGTATACCAAGGACCACCCTAAAAAAGATGAAATCCAAAACTGACAAATGGCCGGGGCACGAAGACATTTAATATCCCCAACTAACGGCAGCTAAACATGCTCCACTGTCACTTTCAAGAGCTCGAAAAGCCGTCATAAAACTTCCAAGCCATCTGGAAAATAAAACTTTATAACATGCATTAGCTGTGGTCCTGACTGCTTAGAACGATTCAAACTTTTTCAAGAACAAACAAATTGTTTCCAAAGTTTATGAATAGTAAACGAAAAACTTGTTTTTGAAAACAATAAACCAAACTTCAAAAAGTGCACTCTTTACAAAGGCCTTTATTTAAATCAAATATTCTTTAAATACATTTTCCAAGTCTTCACATGACTTTTAAAATTTAAATTGTAACCGAGGTATAATAAAAGTCAAAAATTGTAGTATGTCAGAAGATACGAAGAAGAGCTCCAACCATGATAAAACCTAGTTAATAAGAAAGAAACATAACAGCTGAATAATTAAGAAGGTGGCAAAACAATGATAAAGCGGTTAAAAATAAATTATTTCTCTTGTTTGCTCCTAGGCCACAGGTTTAACTTAAAGCGCTGTTCCAGTTAATTGTTCATAAAGACAGGTGTCAGAGGTGCAAGCAACTCCAATTGAGTTGTAACAATGCGTAAACCGATCCCAAAAATATTCCACCAAGTTTCCAAACCGACGAGAGGAGACGAGACAGTCCCGGCGCACATTAATTATGTTAATTGAACTGTGCGGCACTGTGGGAGAAATTTCGCGGAGAACTGACGATGACGAGAAATTAAGCCATCCACATCCTCCGCGGAACCACAGACACATAACTCATAATGCCATTTCCACGTGAAGACTGCCAAGGCATAACTCAGCTTACCTCCGCATCTCCGGCAGACATATAGAACTCTAGGCGAGACTTCATTAAAACTTGTGGCAGATAGTGGCCTGCATCGCTCCAGGTCCTACGATCCTACGGTTCTGGCCAAGTGGGAGACAATCGGAGGAGATGGGGGACCATCGGTTTTAGGACCAAGACCAAAAACAGACAAACTGCAGTCGTGCCTAATGACCACAAAAATAGCCAAATGCAGTTTAATTTATTGCCCCGGTACGTCAACTATGCACTGAGAAAGAAGATTGTTCAATATATTGACTTCAGTAATTCTCTAAAGTATTTTTGGTACTATTAAAGAAAAAAACATTTTCTCTTTTCTTATATTTTAAGAAAAAGATCCGTCAAGTTTTCTTTATCTTATTTCTATATGTTTGGGTTCTGTACAAGTTATCAAAAAAAACATATATGCAAATAATTAGATATATATAATCGTTTTTTTGAAAACAGGTCTTTCATTTAAGTTAAGGGTTTTTTCTAGGTGTGGGTATGGAGGAATGAAGTTAAAAAAGTGAAACTCCTCTGGTTAGGCTATGGTAAGCGAGAGTTGTCTTTAATATTTCTAAAATTTAAAGTTGATTTTTTAGTCAGCTAAATTAAGTTATCAGAACTTTAGCACCTACCCATGCAACCTATTATTACTTAGCTTTTGGCCAAAGGAGACCGGCCCCTTTAAGATTAGGGCTTTCCACCTTTGGGACCTCAACGCCCGCCCCCTCAAGAGTCCTTAGCAAGTACACAAACCTTCCTGGGCGCAACAGTTGAGTGATTTATGAGGCGCATCTCCTCGAGTTTTGGCCCCCTTATGTGCGACGTTATCACTTAATTTGGAAATTACTCGCCAAATAAGACAACATCTTGGCCCCTATTTTCCTACCCCGGCCTGTGGTTGGTTTGACGTATCTGCAAATCGCATTAGCAACTTGTTTAATTGCATAAAATGTTTGCCAGCAGCACATAAATTATGCATCTCCAGGCGAGTTAAGGTGTTTGAGAGACCCACCTGATGGGGGGGGAGGAGGAAGCTCAGAGGATTGGCGGGTTTATTAATAGAACAAGGGCAGCTCAAGGCCAACTGCAATCAACAAAATCAATCAAAAAAACAAAAAAAAAAAGGGAAAAATGGACAAAAATGGAAAGCAAAAATAAATGGAAAAGCGCAACCAAAAGGCAGAAAGGGAACCCATATATCCTCCCAGATGAGTTGCATTGTCAGGGGGCGAACAATGCAT